CTGATGAAGACGTAATGATTGGAAACGTGTACATCCCCCTGAAAATTCGCTGTACAAAATAACTGATGCATTGAATTAACTTGAACAAGAGTTGTTGAAACTTTCTATTAACCATAGATATATTCTGCTTGTAGGAGATTTCAATAGTAGAACTGCTTCCGATATCGATTTTCAAATATTTTATACAGCAAACATGACATAATCAGTGACTCGGATATTTGCAATGATTACTCAAATACTTTGCAAGAGTTAAATATGCTAAGGCCCTTTATAGCTTGCTGTTCGGTGTGAGCCAATGCTCCGTGTTGAAGGCCGTACCTTGACCTATAATGGTTTACTTTTATAAATTGTAACTTGGATGGAGAGTTGTCTCATTGGCACTCATACCACATCTTCCTATATCTAAGTATTAGATGTAGTAAAGATAAATAGAAAAAACTCGCTTGTAAACTCTTTACTTGATATATGTAGAAATAACAATCTATTCATACTAAATGAGAGGCGAAAGATACCAAAGGGACATCCAAACTCATAAGTCGAAAATAAACTGACAACGCCATGGCTAAAAAAGAAAAAGACAAATTGTCAAACAGACATACAGACATACAACAGTACACAAAACACAACATAGTAAACTAAAGACTGAGAAACAAGACCCCCACCAAAATCTGGGGGTGATCTCAGGTGCTCCGGAGGGGTAAGCAGATCCTGCTCTACATGTGGCACCCGTCGTATTACTCATGTAAGTACAAACCTGGTGATGAGTCTAATTCGGTAGGTCTAAATTATAAGAGTAAATGGTGATGAAGAGGGGATATTCACATGTAGAAGTTCTAGTGTTGTTGATTATTTTGTATGCTCATTTGAATTGTTAAATCATGTAATAAATATGCATGTAGCTACTTTTTCGTCTCTTAACTACTCAGATGTACATTGTCCACTGACACTTTTGTAAAATGTGACTATAAAAATGAGCACGATTTTGATGTTATTGAAGCTACAGACATTGATGTAAGAACTTGCAGTGAAAACATAAAGTGAAAAAAACAAGAGTTTATTGAAAACATTGATGGAAATAAGATTGCAGAATTAGAAAATGAATTAAAGACTTTTTGAAGTCAAGTATTATGTCACAAAATTCTGTAAATAAGTTGTCCAAACACATAAACGAAGTACTTTTGGAACTGCTGAAAAGGTTATAGGCACCATTCTTATAACACGAAGGTGAAAAAGAATACGAAAGAAAGCAAACCATGGTTTGACAAAAACGTTGGGAGCATAGAAAGTGCCAAACAAGCTGAAATGAAAGATGCAGAGAGAAGGTATAAAAAACAGATGACCTTTTCTATACACGAGTATAGAAAGACTTTCAGAAAAAAATACAAAATTTAAGAAACAGTAACTGTAAGGAGTTGTGGAAAATATTAAATGAAAAAAAGGAAAAACGTACACCAAATATTTCCATCGATGTTCTACGAGTGAAAATGTCTGCATTCATGCTGAATACAATCAAAAGAATACTTTAATTGAAAGAACATATAGATTTCCTTCCATCGACAAACGTGTGATTTAAATGACCAATAAAATAGACAAAATGACCTCAACTGACCATCAATTCAATGAATAGACATTTAAAAGGTTCACATACCAGAACTCAGGTCATGATATCACCTTAATTATCATATAAAAATAAACAAAACAGCATGCTTCAGTCTTTTATTATTGAAATAAGATTCTATTCCATAAATAAGTAAATAGATCCAATCAATATGTTCCAATGAATATTTTATTATCAAAACAGTAATGTCATACCGATCAAAGTACAATCCTCAAAGTTGTATATATATATATATATACCATTGAAATTTCACCCTTTCACACAGATTTTAGTTGGACACAATCATATTATATTTTTTTGTATGTTTCAAAACATATTGTCTGTGACGTGTCTATGTGTGATGTATGTCCTACTCATTATGGCCCTACTTTGGTGATTAAAATTCTTATTCGTATTGTTTTTTGTTGTAAGTCATCCTATGGGCAAGGCCTACTTCGGCTAATATTTTTATTCTGTACCATCGGAATGAATACCGATACATTACCAATTTCGTCTAGACATAGAAAAGAAAGGAGTCTGGATAATAATTAGTCCAGATAATCATGCCGTCTGCTGTGTGTATTTTTCGATTTTGACTCTTTTTTATCCCACATTGACGCAGGAAGGCGTCAAAGCAAAAAAATAAAATAGCCTTCCAAGACGTCATAATTATTTGGACTAGATAATATCCTGTGGTGGTCTATAGTGTCCGTATAATATTTTATTCCAATCAGTGCGTGAGACAAAATTAGACTTCCGTTTAAAGTCGCTTTCATCATAAACATGGTTAAAAAATACAGTGGCAGAGGTGCAGTGGTCGATAGACAATGTCTTCAAAATCCATGATCACTGTTGTTAAACTGATAATCGTAACTGGAATTACGACGATCCTAATATGGCGACGGCAGAAATAGGTAAAATCTTTTCAGTCATTTTTCTCAAATGTAGCCTGTTGTTGTCAAGAGTTAATCAGCTGCAAGGTTTTTCTATACTATTACCATCATATTTGAATCGTAACGGTGTACTATAATTGTCTAAGCGCTTAGAAAATTGTCGTCGAAAAATTCGGGATGATAATCGTAATTCGAAAAAAAAGGATAATCGTAATTCCGGTAGTAAAAAATGAGAAGATAATCGTAACTGAATAGATTTAGATTGATATTGACACTAAAAACGGCTATCTGTTAGCATATGATGAAATATGGGGATAAATTAATCACGAAAAAAAATTACAACATCTTATGTCATTTCTTTTAGTGCATAATTATATGATTAATAGTTCTAATGTAAACAGCTACATACTAGTATATCATAAAATTTGGAGGGGTTACAAGCTTCAGGAAATTTGGAAATGGGGAAACACGAACTATGTTAAAATACATAAAACTCCAGGAACTAGGAAATTCAATGTTTAAAAAATATGGGAATGAGAGAAGAGGCAATTTTAAAGGAAGTTACACAAATGTATGAGGTATTGCAGTAATTGTCGGGCAAAACGTGCGTATATATAAAAAAGAAGATGTGGTATGATTGCCAATGAGACAACTCTCCACAAGAGACCAAATGACACAGAAATTAACAACTATAGGTCACCGTACGGCCTTCAACAATGAGCAAAGCCCATACCGCATAGTCAGCTATAAAAGGCACCGAAATGACAATGTAAGACAATTCAAACGAGAAAACTAACGGGTTTCAGATTAGTGATTAATTATAAAAAAGAAGATGTGGTATGATTGCCAATTAGACAACTCTCCACAAGAGACCAAATGACACAGAAATTAACAACTGTAGGTCACCGTACGGCCTATAAAAGGCCCCAAATGACACATGTAAAACAATTTCATGAGTACTGTTGAAATGGATTTTTTTTGTGTTCATTTCGCGCAGAATTTTAGTATAAACGTTCAGTTAATAGCACCCCCCCCCCCCCCCCCCATTTCCCTTCTTCAAAATTTCTGATCCCATCCAAAGGGGACTCAAAACTGGCAGCGATCTTATAATAAATGAGGCTTTTATAGCGCATGTTGGAGGGGTGGGGGTCACTTCTGGCGTGCTGCTGAAATTTAAAAAAAATATCCCCATTCATATATTGTCGGAGACCAAAAATCTGATCCATGTTATGGCTTTATATATATATAAGAGAGATATTTTTTTATTTCCAATTATGGGCCCCAAAGGGCATAAACATTACAACATGAATAATTTTTTCATAATACAATACAAACAATGAGATAAAAAAAAAAAAAAAAGTTAAACGAGAACTATTTAAGTTCTTAAAGAATACGTAGATAAAGAATCTATAGTATGTTGGTTTTTTTAATACTAATGCATTTTATTGCAAGTGTGGTTGATATAGATAACAAGCAGCCCAAAAAGAAAAAAAGAAAAATAGATATCCACATATGTATAGTACACAAAAAGTTGGATCAATTAAATATATAATAATTAGCCAAAAAGAAAGTAGAAATTAAACATGTCCATGACTCATCCTGTGTCAGCAGCAAATAGGAAAGCATTATGGTTTCCTAAAGGCAGCTGACACCAGGGGGCGATACCTTATGGGCCATAGGCATGTAAAATGTGTGTAAATGTCTCTTTCCTACCTGTATCAAAAGCAAACAAGGAAGCATCATAGGTAACTTGAATGCAGTTGATACCAGGGGACGATGCCTCAAGGATATAAAAGAACATTTGAATAAATGATATATCTTAACAATTATTTTTTTTTTTAATCGGCTAGTATGGCTATATATAGGAAGTAACCCACAACAACCCCGTGGTACAGGGTATATTGGGATAGGGGAGGTTAATTTGCCCTTTTTATTGATTATGTTGATTGGATATATGCGATATATGAGGCAAAACATATGCCATATTAAATGTGGTATACGGGACTTTCATAAGAAGCGATGAAAGGATTGCACTTTTGGGATATGGGATATTGGTAATACACCCCCCCCTCCCCAACCCCAACCCCAAACCAAGGCTGGAAGACACATTTATTATTTTTCAGTTACTATTATCTGAAAAAAGAAATTACGATTATCAAACAAGAAAAATGCCATCGAGTTACGATTATCATCCCGAATTTTTCGACGGGCAATTTTCTAAGCGCTTAGACAATTATAGTGCACCGTTACGATTCAAATATGATGTAATGGTATAGAATAACCTTGCAGCTGAGTAACTCTTGACAACAACAGGCTACATTTGAGAAAAATGATTGAAAAGATTTTACCTATTTCTGCCGTCGCCATATTGGGATCGTCGTAATTCCAGTTAAGATTATCAGTTTAACACCAGTGATGATGGTGGACTGAAAATCCTGACTGATTGAAATGAATCCGGAGATATTATGAAAGTGATTGGCAATTTTGTATGATAAACCTTAATTTATTACCTTATTAGTGATCTGGAGAGTCTTTGTTAAAAATAATCCACGCATTCTCCATATTAAAGTTCTGTTTCTGTAAACTATGTTATACTTGATAGGCGTTAATTTACTATCTATAAATAACTCACTTGAGCAGAATACATAAAATCATTCAAACGGAAAAAAAATAAATAACTGTATTCATTATAATTATTGAAATCGAAGATAATCGCAAAGAATTGTAACAGTAATAATCGTTTAATTAAGATACGAAACACTTCTTCCATAATCTGTTCAGAGGCGGATTTAGGGAGGGGGGGTGCAAAAGGCCCCCTTTGTGGGAAAAATTGGTGAAGATAAGATAAGATAAGATATTTTATTGGTTTAAAATCCAAAAGTATAGGATTTTTACCAAGACATATATACATAAACATAAACATACAAACATATATCTGACCACATTTATAAACATTGTATATATTTATTTGTATATCCCCTCCATTGTTTAAACAAAATATTGTTTAACAGTTACAATAATAAATGTATATAATCTCTGCTGAGGAAAATGGTACCACAAAGTTATTTAGTACCATTTCTAGAATTGTACATATCGCGTATGAACTTTGTTGATTGACAATGTATACAAATCGATTTTTTTAATATCAAAAAACCAGAAAAGTGGTTAAAGTGTGTCGATAACAGTAGTCATAAATTTAAATTTCAAGTAGGGGGATTAAGCACAGGCACTTGTCTCTAAATTTGTTTTACCTGTGTTTTATAAAGGTATGTATATAGGTTGTTTTTTTCATAGACAAGTGCCTGTCGGATTAAGGTTAAATCAGACCAATACTTTGTTTACTTTGGTAACCACGCTGATAATAAAAAAGTGTAAACCATGATTTTGAATAATCATAATCGTCTCTTAGAAAACAGTTTTTTGTTAGATGTACACGTAAAACCTCTGTATATCATATGTGTAGCAAATTGTAATAGAGGCTTGATATACTGATATTAAAAAAAGTTAATGTTCAGATGCGGATCCAGGATTTTGAAAAGGGGTGGGCACTGGCCCCCGAACTAGACAAAATTTGTAGTGGAACCGGTGTAAATAGTCTGGGTTAACCATAAATAAAGCTCCAAAAGGGGGAGGGTGAAGCAACCCCCCCCCCTAAATCCGCCCCTGACGTTTGCTGTCAGTTGATAAAAATATAGTATATACATCATATCTCTATCTACCTCTTATTAGCAGCAACGTTTTCACGGGAGCTTAAAAAAAACCCTGAAAATTTGAAAATTTTGCAATTTTCTAAACATATGATATAAAGAGGTAATGATTGTCTTATGGACAACTAGTTATCATAGTCAAAATACAACTCATGTCACAATAAGGCCTTCAACAATGATCAAAACTCATACCGCATAGTCAGCTATAATTGGCCCGACATAACAAAATGTGAAACAGTTCAAACGAACACAAACAACGGCCGGATTTATAACTAAACAACAAACGAAAAACTAATATTACAGACATGAACCTAATTTGGGACGGGCTCATAAAGAATGTTGCGGGGTTAAACGTGTTTTATGTGCTCTAGCTACCATCCCCTAACCTGAGGCAGTAATGTAACAGCACAATATAAGTAGAAACTGTAAAGATCAGTATGAAATGGTTTGAATCATCAGATTGGCAAGAAGCACAAAAACATCTTAACATGGACAAAAGGCATAAAGTAATGATCTAAGAGTTCTCACATTTACTGAAAGCTAGTTCAAATTAAAGCCAGTAACTACTACTAAATAAAGCAAGTTGTTGTCTGCTCTATGGTCGGGTTGTTGTCTCTTTGACACATTCCCCATTTCCATTCTCAATTATATCTCAAAGACTCAAGTCTTGTACAGATTTAAAAATGTAAGGTTCCTGTGACGTATTTAGCAAGAAAAGTACAGGGTCCAAGGAGTCTATATTTCTCACCTAACATTTTTGCATAAAATTGATACAATGAAATACAATACTTCTGAATAGTTTGTGACCAGAAAGCATAACAAGGGTAAAATTGGTCTTTCAAGGGCAATAACTCCTATAAGGCCATGTTGACTTGTGAATAGATCTTGTCCTGCTGATCATTTTTGCTATTATCAGTTTCTCGCTATTTAACTATTATTTTTTTCTGCAAAAACACATATATGCATGTCTTTTTTATTTTTAGATCTTGCCCTGATGTACATTTATCACTTTACAATTTTTATCTATCTACTACAGTTTCTACCAAAAAAAAACAAATAAAAGAACAGAGTTCCAATGTCCCCTGTGTTGCACATATTTTATATGTTCTGTTCAAAGGGCAACAACTAAAAAAATATTTGTTCTTTAAAACTTTTTTAAATTATCTTACTAGAGAGTTGAAGACTTGATAGCAATTTCCGATATATTTAAAAGTTCCTAGGGAAACTCCTTAAAAATATTTGATCGGCACTTATTTTCGAAATTTTCCGAGTCATTGCTGTTATATACCTTCGATATGAATTTGATAAAAATCTGGCAAAATTGTACACGTATACAAATTTCCGTATAATTTGTATTTATAAGTGGCATAACTCTTTTTAAAAATGTTAATCGACACTGATTTTTATGTGTCGTCCGAGACATTGCTGAAATAAACCTACAATATAAGTTTCATAAAAACGACAAGAATTGTACACATGAGAGGGCTAACGATGCTATTTACCATATAATTAATGTTTCCAAGGGCCATAACTCTTTTAAAAAAAGTTGATCGGCACTGATTCTCGAACTCGTCTGAGACATTGCTGATATAAATCTACAATAGATTTCATCAAAATCTGGCAAGAATTGTACATGTGAGAGCACTAACGAGGCAATTTTCCATATAATTAATGTTTTCAAGTGGCACAACTCTTTTAATAAATTGCTTCGCCGAGCGCAGCTGGATAGGACCGCAGAGGTCCAACCCTGAACAGTTGGGGCAAAAATGGACACAATATTCGCGCTTGATACAGGTCTGAATTAGGATTGTAATAAAATATTTATCCCCCTTGTTTTTTGCTTTTGTGCAATACACTATGCTGTTGCGAATTCAGCCCCCCCCCCCCAAAAAAAAAATATTTGAAGAAATTTTCTTTTTAATTTCTGAAATCTGAAATGAGAAAAAAATGTCCCCCCCTCCACAATTTCTTTTTTATCCCCCCCCAAATTTTTTTTCACCTCCCCCCTTTTTAAAAAAAAAAAATCTTTCCCTCAAGATATGGTCATAATCTCAATTCAAATGTCCAATGGAGTTAGCAACCATAATTACCCATTTAAATACATCATAAAAGTCTTAAAATAGAAAATGACATACATAATCATGGCTAAAATTAATATTCCTTAATCAGCATTTTTAATAGTAACTTCTAAAAATAAATTGACAGCTAATCACCTCAAGACAATACAACATTTCTTTATACATAATTTAAAAGCAGTGTAAGGGAGGTAATCCAAACATAAAATTGTACTTTTAAGTAATTGGCTCCTAATTCCTAAACTGTTAGGACCATAACCCCCAAAATCAATCCCAACCTTCCTTTTGGGGTTATAAACCTTGTGTTTAAATTTTATAGATTTCTATTTACATATACTTAAGTTATTGTCTGGAAACCAAATGTCTTCGGACGACGACGTGATACCAATATACGACCGCAAAATATTTTGCTGTCATATAAAAAAAGTTGATTGGCACTGATTTTCGAACTCATAAGTTTCATAATCTATAGAAGATCGTTCGAGACATTGCTGATATAAACCTAAAATATAAGTTTCATAAAAATCTGGCAAGAATTATACATGTGAGAGCGCTAACGAGGCAACTTTTCATATAATTAATGTTTCCAAGGGACATAACTCTTTTAAAGCGCTTCGGACACATGAAATTATTTACATGTTGTTTTCATTCTTTTAAAAATAGACGATTGGAACTGATTTTATAACTCGTCCGAGACATTGCTGGTATATTTAACCTACTATATAAGTTTAATAAAAATATGGCAAGAATTGTACTTGTGAGAGTGCTAACAAGACCGGACGGACCCAGAGACAGAGGGACAGACGCCCTGTATTTCTACATCACACGCAACGTGTTGCACGGGGGAAAAAACTAGAGGCTTTCAAGAACCTGTGTCGCTCACCTGATTCTACTTTGGATTTGGAAATCATGTAAAAATAGATTAAAATCAAAACAGATACCCTAATAATGATTGAGGCCAAATTTGGTTTAATATTGGCCCCATAATTTAATCAAAAGCAGAAGACTTTTGTAAAGTTTACAGAAATTACCAGACTTGTTTATAAATCTGGTATAATATATTTTTCTGTTTATACTTTTTTCTCGTCTATAGGTTCTGCCAAAAAGAAAGAAAAGGTTAAAAAAATGCCAATACTTCTATATACAGTTGTCTGATGATTTCAGCGATGCTAATCTATTTTTGTATATATAGTTGCTGAAAACACACAAAATAAGGTAAAAATCATCCATTGAGGGATTAATTTATACATGGAGTTGACTGACATTTCAGCAATGTTTAATCATTTGTAGATCTTGTCCTGCTGGTCATTTATGCTATATTCAATTTCTCTCAATCTGCTATAGTTCCTGCAAATACACAAAATTTGGTAAATTCCAACTTCCAAGGGCAATAACTCCTATAAGGAGTAGATATAATTACGTTTGAGGATTTTGTGTCATGAAATTAAACTTGTTATTAATGTCAGAACAAAACGTTATTTTGTGAACAAAATCAAATAAAGTTGGGGAACAACCATTTAACTTCAAAAGAGGGGGGGGGGGGGGGGGGGGGGTATGGTTTTTTCCTAAAAAACATATTCTGATCCCCAATTTAATGAAAAAAAAATATTCTGAATCCCTATACCTTATAGTATAAAATTTTCTGACTCAGACAAAAAACAATAACCCCCTCCACCTCCGCCTTTGAACTTAAATGGTTGCTCCCTTAAATAGCTAGACAGAAGAATTAAGTAGTACTTGTCTTGCATATTCAGTTTTCTTTTGGAAGTTTTCGACTGTCAAATGCTTATTTCCCTGATCTAAACAAGCATGAGGGTCTAGATAGTGTCCTTCATTTC